GAACTTCCCTTTGCAGCTGAGTGCCTCTTCCTGTAGTGCTGGCTCAGGTTGTGAACCTACACACAGACACCATGTATCCATTCCAGAGACAAGGCAGTCTGCTGCAAAACAGAAGTTCTCCCCCAGCATGAGAAGACATGAGGATTTAAAAGGAAGAGCAGCAAAGAGAAGGGAAGCTACCATGGATTACAGTGCGGCGCACATTACAGTATTGGTTTATGTTACACAATCTGAAGGGTTTAATGTCACTTTAAGGATGACTTCTCTATGCTTGGCTGCCTGATATCACGAGGCGCTCAGACGTGTCAATGAATTCTTACCTTGCGGTGGAGGAGGGGTGACCGAAGTACACCTCCTCCCGGGATTTAGACACATGCAGGGTGAGCTCTCCCGTTGGGTCATGTCCGGCCCGTTTGCACTGCTCCAGTGAAGTGTCCATAGCGGTAGTGAGGTCAGAGGAACACTTGTGTAAAGCAAGTCCCTCTATGTGCGCCCTGATCTCCCCGGCACTCTGTGCAATCACGGCATCACCAGTCTCTATCCTCAGGCTATCACACAGGCCGTGCCTCAGTCTGCTCTCAGTCCAGTTCCCATTGCAGCCACCCGCCTGGTCAGCAGCCTCACACGTACAGCAGTCCACATAGGACAGGTTGTCAGCCAAGGTAGCCAGGGAGTCCAGGCAAGTGTAGACCAGACAGGAGGAGGTCAGCTCCGCAGCAGTCAGCTTCCTCCGGAGAGGTGCGTTATGGGAGACGGCGTTGCCAGACTCTTCATTCCCATTGGAGGAGATCTCATCTGCGGGTTCAGCAATCATCGTCTGATCCAGAGAACAGGAGCTGCTATCAAACAAGTCACTGTCATTGAGCAGCACCAGCTTCTTCCTGCGCTTCATCTGCGCCGACATCTTCACCTCATCATCCTCATTGGGTGGAGCTTGTTCTACTGCCTCAGCGCAAGGGGCGGAGACTTGAGATTCTTTAACACACAGAGGTAATGGTAGCAGGCATTCTAGATTGGTGGATATGAAGTCCTTGTTTCTTGATTGGAACTCTGATAAAAGTTGCAGTATGCTACCCAGCTCCCCAGGTTTGGAGATTGCACCCTAAAAACAGATCACATGACACAAACCATTATCTCAGATGATGTAGTGGAGGCAGAACACCAACACTCCCATCATTGTACAGGATAACACCCAGGAGTGTATGACTGACACCAACACTCCCATCATTGTACATGGCATCACCCTGGAGAATAGGACAGACACAGATACCCCCATCATTGTACATGGCATCACCCAGGGGAGTATGACAGATACCCCCATCATTGTACATGGCATCACCCAGGGGAGTATGACAGATACTCCCATTATTGTACATGGCATCACCCAGGGGAGTATTACAGACACCGATACCCCCATTATTGTACATGGCATCACCCAGGGGAGTATGACGGACACAGATACCCCCATCATTGTACATGTCATCACCAAGGGGAGTATGACGGACACTGATACACCCATCATTGTATGTGGCATCACCCTGGAGAATAGGACAGACACAGATACTCCCATCATTGTACATGTCATCACCCTGGAGAGTATGACAGACACCAACACTCCCATCATTGTACATGACATCACCCAGGAGAATAGGACAGACACTGATACTCCCATCATTGTACATGGCATCACCCAGGGGAGTATGACAGACACGGATACCCCCATCATTGTACATGTCATCACCCTGGGGAGTATGACAGACACGGATACTCCCATCATTGTCAGACACCGACAGCCTCATCACCATAAAGCATTGTGCTCAGCCACTCACTCACCTTCACAAATGGGATCAGGCCTTCTGTTGGAAGTATTACATTACTGAGTCCCATCGAGTTTTCTGTACAGCCAAAGTTACAGCCTGGAAGCTCTTTGGGATGTATTTGTGATGCGGCCTTATTACAGCTTTTCCCAGCATCCTCTGCTGCACCACCACCACGGTGTATACCTGGAGAATAAACACAAGAATCTCAGTCCTATACACTGCAAACTACCCGATGTTCCTGCACACGGATCTGTGTACCCACCAACAGGAGGCGGCAGCTCCTTCTCTCTCAGTCCTCCTCCTCCGCTACGAGCCCAGAACTGCAGCTGAAGCACGCTTTGTCTGATGTCACAAGTGTTGGCTGTTAGAAATGTCATCAAGTCCTTGGTGTCCGTCCTGAGATTCTCAGCCAGACAAAGAACCTGCAGATAGCTGGCCACATTCACCTGAAACAAAGATGGAGGAACATGAGGCCCCGTACGGCACAGAGAAGTGGGATTATGTGTGTGTGTCCCCGGCACCTACCACAGAGGGTGTGTGGAAAGTGATCTCCTCAAAGACACCATCAAACATCATTCCGAACATCGCGTCTGAAATCAAAAGAGGATCCAAGGACACAACATGACTTCCAGCAGAATCTTCATACACAAAATAATATATAAAGCTGGTAACAGAGCAAAGCCGAGTACAAAGGAACTCACGCAGCCTGTATTAGACGGGGGCCCAGCGAGATAGGGTGTCTGCATTAGACGGGGGGCCCAGCGAGATAAGGTGTCTGCATTAGACGGGGGCCCAGCGAGATAAGGTGTCTGCATTAGACGGGGGGCCCAGCGAGATAGGGCGTCTGCATTAGACGGGGGGCCCAGCGAGATAGGGTGGCTGCATTAGACGGGCCCATAATGGGATATGTACCCTTTGGAGACCTATTTCTGATATAAAGCCGTGTATATAGGGAGGTACACGCAATATTTGCGAGCTGATGAGTGCTTGCTGATCCACATGCTAAAAGGACAGTGTCATGATTTTAAAGGGCAGCTCCTGTACACACAGGACATGGAAACCGAGGCTGAGCACAGTTTGGTTGCCTCCTCCCGTCACATGCCCGCATAAACCTGGAGCTCTATTTATTCCTGGCCGATTATGGAGTACAAAGCGCAGGGCATGCTTCACAATACCGTCTGCTTACCGCTGGTCGTCAGGATGACCGGCCTCTTCGCTGTGCTCATAAAAGTCTTGATTGCACTTAAGAATCCAGAATCCTCATCAAATATGACATCAACCTGGAAGACAGGGCAGACAACCTTACAGCCTCAGCACGGGGGACACATGGCACGTCACATACAAATGACTTACCTCCTCAAAGAGAATGAGGGAGGTGGCACTCTTCCGCTGGGTCTCCTCCGTACTTTTCTCTGAGAAGAACGGTAACGGCTTTACAGTTTTATTTCCGCATGCCTTCCCAGTGGACATTGCGAGTGTGGCTGTGGAGGAGGAGAAGATGCCCCAGGATCAATGACTGCCTTCTCAATGTGGAAACGGATCTCTCTAGCTGTATCAGATGCTGAACAATCGGTGTATTCTGGAAGCAGTGACCTTCAGACACACATTGACCCGTATTCAGACGCATACACAACGTATCTGGGGATGGACACTAAATACCTTTGCCTTGGTCTGGTGCAGCTCTCTGCTTTGGTGCCGCTTTGAAGAAGTTTGCCAGCGACTTGGGGGCCAGGCCTTTCTTGCCTCCCCGGGGTGACATTGGAGGCTTCCTGGGAGAGGACACCACGGCCTTGGGAGAGTGCACTTTCCCTGAAAAAAAAGAATGAACAGAGCTTCCAATGGAGATGTGACAGGGACAGTCATGTTCTCCTGATATCATAGGGTGGTTTGGAATATACGTACTGGGAGATTTGCCCAAGCTGTAGCTGCTGAAGAAGCATGGCTTGTGTGCATTGACGCCCTGCTGGTCCACCTGGTGAGACTGCGTGGCTTCCTTGAGCTGAGCCAAGATCTGCCTGCCGCTGCGCTGACACGAGGCATTAACTTCGAATACCTGGAGAGAGGAGAAGCGGCACATGTTCTAGAACGGTGCGTGGATGTCCAGACTTGGCCAAGGTTCAGGGATAAGAGGACAAACCTTAAAACCGAGCTCCTGAGCAGAGGCGTAGACCGCTGCCGTCTTCCCCACACCCGGAGGTCCAGTAATAAGCATGGTGTTACACAAGGAATCTTCATCGCTGTCCTCGTCATTGAAGTCATCCGCGTCCCAGGTGTCTGACCAGCAGAGAGTTAAATATTACATCATGGACTCATCAATCATCTACTATGCATGTGATTGCTCTAGACCAGGGGTAGCCAAACTCCGGACCTCCAGCTGTGGTGAAACTACAAATCCCACGATGCATCTCTCTCCAGGAGTCATGTCTGTGGCTGGGAGAACCTTGCAATGCCTCATGGGATTTGTAGTTCCGCCACAGCTGGAGGGCCGGAGTTTGGCTACCCCTGCTCTAGATCCTTGGTTCTCAAGTGGTGGGTCGTGACCCCATGTTCAGCAGGTCGCCGTGTGCCTTCCACTATGCTAGGCGAGAGGCTCCTCAGCTCCTCCCGTCTGTTCTCTCGCCAAGCAGCCATTCAAAATCTGCTGCCGAGTGCCAGCTTGAGGAGGCATTGGCTGGGCCTATGGCCGTGAGGGAGCTCCATCCACGCGTACCACTCCCTTGCGTGCCCTGTAGTGGTGCCTGGACCGGAGTGATATCACATTCTGGCTCCTGGCTTTGTCTACAGGGCACTCAAGGGAGCTGTACAAGCATCGCACGTATGGATGGAGCTCGGTCACAGCACAGCAGCCCACACTGGACCCCAGGCTGAGGATCCACTGTTCTTGTAAGGTAGGGAGACTGGGTGGATCGACCACATGTTCTGGTGTGGGAGGTGTGTTGTGTTGCAATTCAACGGCACCCCAAACACACCTGCCACTCACAGTTCGATCGCCCGCGCCGGAACGCGCAGTACCGCAATGTTGTGCGTTCCATCACAGTGCGACTTGGGTCGCCACTTAATGACCGAGGACAAATGTGGGTCCCGAGGTTACACAGCTTGAGAACCGCTGCTCTAGGTCTTACCATTCTTATCTTTTTCTATCTTCTGCATCTGACTCCTCTTCTCCTCCTTCTCTGCTCGGGTTTTCCAATCCCTCAGCCAGCTTTAAAAACAAACCAGAAGATTACATTGATTGCGGCTGCACACAGCACCACCACGGCTCACCAGAGACCCAAATGCCCCCCTGCCATTACCTGTGCAGTCTCCTGATGGCAACGGAATTTCCTATCAGCTCACTGGTACTCTGCGGCTGGTACTTCTCTGTCCATAGAACGTCCTCCAACACCAGACCTGAGCCAAAGAGAAATGGCATTTTCCTGACCATACTTAGAGGAACTACGCAAAGCGCCTAGGTTACAACTGGGAATGTATTATTTATACTGGATGGGCCTCATCATGAAGACTAAGCAGCAGATAGAAATTCTGTCTTCTCATTCCCTGCACACAGATTGCTTCTTAGTTCCCCACGTTTACCTGTCTAGGCTTTTCTACATTGCTAAGAACACCCTGTTTACAGAGCTCACGCTTAAAAGGAGAACTATGGGGAGTCAGTGTTTTCCCCCATAGTTCTCCTTAGGGTAACGGGAGCACACAAACTAGCGTCCTCCCGTCACCCTAGGCTCAGTATATAGGGAGCTACAGCTCGCGGTATACTGAGACCGCCGCAGATGAAGCGGATCCCGACTTAGACGACAGGATCCGCCCAGCTGCGTGAGTGACAGCTGGCTACACAAGATGGGGCAGCGGATCCCGGGAATCAAGGTGCGGGGTCAGGGGGGGGCGAACGAGCACATATAGGCGATCGGCGGGCTATGGACCCGCTGATCACCTATATGTGAAACACCCGGTACCAGGTGTTCGTATTGGTCGGGTCTTTTCTGCCCGTGCGTGCCCGCTAGGGGGCGCGCGCGAGCAGAGAAAAATTGCCGTCTGGAGACGGCAACCCGCACATGCAGCAGTGCCGTCCGTCCGTTTTTTTACTACGGGCGGACGGCAAGAGGTTAAAGAAATACACAGGAATGAGGGCCTGTTCACATGAGATCAGGTGCTGATCAGCAGACGTGGAGCTGCTGATGCAGTGCGTTTTTGATGCGTTTTCGGTCCAGATGCTGATAGTTAATTTTTTGTCAACAAAGATGACATCATAATAAGTGGAGCAAGAATACAATTTTTTCTTTGTTTTCCCCCCTTAGCTGCATTGCGTTGCGTGCGCGTTTGCGTATCCGGACCGGACAAAATGTGACATGCAGTATTTTTTATGTCGTAAGCTGAACGGACTGCGCACGTGAGAACTGGAGCCCATAAAACACACAGGGATACATTGGGATGCATTTTGAGTGCAGCAGCGTACGGAGCCGGTCAGCACACAAAACGGACGTCGTGTGAACGCGCCCTTAAGCTGCAGCTGGAAGTGTGCCACCACTGTTGGGGCAGCCAATCCTAGAAGGGGGCTTATTTCCACAAAAGGGCACAAACATAGTGCTGTAACCTGCGGAAACCATTCAGATCTCTCGTTTTATTCATATCTAGGGGCAACAGCTGAACCTCTGTACCATCGCTGGCATAAGCAGACTACATCTGGTGGCATCACAAGTGCTGGATTGGTTTTGGCCATATTGGGAAGTGATGAAGTCTATGGGCACCGTGTGATTTGGCCAGACACCCGTGACCTACCTAGGTCAAGGAGAAGACCCCCCAACGGGCCAATCCTCAATGCTGTGTCCAGGTAGAGCCGGCACCCAGGGTCTCTATTCCAGGTATTGCCCCAACAATACAGACTTGTATACTCATGTCCTTATCTGTCCCAGAGAACAATACAAGGCCGGTCTTTTCTTACGTCTCTCAGACACATCAAAAGGGATATAAAGTATCTCAATAAAGAGATTGAATGACCTTCTGCATCGGGCTCAGGTGTCGCCTCCTCCTCAATGACGATGACCTCGGGATCTGTAGAAGAAACACTTCTCCTCAGAGAGCCTCTGGACAGCCGTCCCTTCTTGGCTTTCCCGGCCGACTCTCGATCTAGCTCGTGCTTACTGGGGGTGCTCTTCTTCCTCTTAGATTTCAGGACTGGAGAGTCCTTCCTCTTACGCTTTGCCCCAGTCTCAGCCTCTTCTACGACCAGACCTTTGTCCGCCTGATGCCCACCTGAGAAGTAGAAAGGGAAATACTCAGGTTTGTAATCTTGCGGCGGCAATGACCCCACAATGCGGGAATCTCCCGTGTCCACAGGGTACACACCAGGTTTAGTGGTGTCTTGTAGTGCCAGGTGATCATTCTGCTTCTTCAGGAGCTGGGTGAAGAACCTTCTCACTGGGAACTGAGGGTTGGAGCGCCTAATCTCTTCCAGGAGGCAGTTTCTGATGGCTTCTGAAAACGCGGCTCTCCTGGTCACCTAGGAGAAAGCAGAACTCTTAGGAGACACCTGTATATACTCATAACAGACATGAATGTTATAGAGTCTGTCGCCTTGCCTATTCAGGCTAAGGCCTTGTCCACACCAAATGCAGATCTGCTCAGGTTTCTGCACACGCACCATAGTCTTTTAGATGCGCTTTTGGTAAAAAAAAATAAAACATTTTTAAAGTTTAAAATGGGCTTTCAGTGCGTTCCAGGCATCTGCATGCGTTTGCAGACCCAGAGCAGGTAAAACTGGGCCTGCTGCAGTTTTTTTCACCTGCTCTGGACCTGCGCGCTGCGATGTGAACTGGAGCAAAAAATTACCATTGGACGCAGTTTTGATCCGGTCTGCACCTGCTCCGCGCTTGGTGTGAACAAGGCCGTAGCCCTCGTTCACACCTGAACGTTTTGTAGCGCGTTCTACGCTCGACGAACGCTCTACAAAACGCTCAAACATCTAAATCCCATTGTATTCAATGGGTCTGGTTCCCACCTCGGCGTATTTCCGCCCGTCCCTAACGCCCTACAAAACGGCCCACGCCTGGAAAGGTGCAGGTACTACTTTGGGCCGTTTTGTTGCGCGTTGCCATTGGGATACAGCCAAGTAGCCTTCGGAAACGCGCGTTTGTCGCACAACTTTTTTTTACCGCGAATCGCGACAGACGCACGTATGCAATACGCCTAGGTGTGAACGAGACCTTAGTGTCTGCTGCAGGAAACAATGTGTAAGCCGCACTGCCGCGCCAAGGCACCTCTTATAGTGCGGTCCTAACTCTAAACTATGAGAGTCTCCATCTTGGAGCACATGGGGGCAGAAGATTTCAAATTGGGTGCAGGCCTGTCAGGAGGACGCCCCACCTCCTTAAAAGGTACAGAAACACACAAGGGATCCCGCACATCCCATTGGCAGCTGAGAAACCCCATGCGTCGCTGCACCAAATCGGTAAAGCAAAACAAACGCACTCAACAATTTGTTACCAGTTATACAGTAAGGTGCACACGAAATGGGCTTTGAACAGTAGAAAGGCGTCATGGCGCACTCACACACCAGCATGTAAAACAACTTGTCTCACCGCTAAGGACAATGACAGAGGTTTGGATACACGTCTTCTGCAAAGGATGTGTAAGGACCGCACTATAAGAGGTGCCTTGGCGCGGCAGTGCGGCTTACACATCCTTTGCAGAAGACGTGTATCCAAACCTCCGTCATTGTCCTTAGTGGTGAGACAAGTTGTTTTACATGCTGGTTTGTGAGTGTGCCATGATGCCTTTCTACTGTTCTGCTGCAGGAAACAAGTCTCCACTTTTATCTGTGGCAGTCGGCCCTTACTGGCCAAAGCAATGAGGAATTCATGGATTGCTGCTTCCCAACTAGCAAAGCATTCTGCAGCATCCCAGTCAGCGAGGGAGCATCAAATACCAAGGATAGGGAGTGGCAGAACCACCAGTTTGACATGGCCCAATGGCCTCCCGTTTCCTGCAGTATCTCTAAACGACATTCCCGATTCCCCCAAAACACACTTACCATGTCGGGACGCTGCTGGAGAGCGAGCGTTACAGAGCGGGAGGTGAACTCCCCAGGAGACAATGTGAACGAGGTAACGTCTGAGACGTTGACAGAGGCTGGCGCGAGTTTTGTCAGCATGGGACAGCGGGGCATGACCAGATTCCACTTCTCACATCCTGTAGAGAGTCAGACACACACTCTTAGCACAGGGCAGGACTCAAAATCAGAGAGGTCAGGAATATCATTGGCCCAGATACACGCTAAGAGTATCCAGAGCAAATTCAGGAACAAGCTTTGTGGGAAGACTCACCATCCTTCTGCTGCACATGAACCACGCTATGGAAGGACAGGCTGGACAGGGCGTAGGCCTCACTCAGGGCCGCCTCTTTGGCTATGTGGCGCTTCAAGGAATCCGGTAAACCACTCATGAGAAATTCCCTCTTGGCTTTGAACTGTTCACCATCCTGCGAATTCTCGGAGACTTCAGAGCTAACGATGAACAAACAATAATGACGACGACGAGAGTTATTTTGGTTTAGGTGTTTATAGACAATTCTATGACCATTGCTATTGAGATCCTCCACACACAGAATGGATAGGAGGGGTAATGAGGGACATATAACACCAACATTCTTCACGGAGAAGACCCATGATTGACATCAGAGCCCAAGAGGCCCATCTTTCCTCTAAAGGAGAACTATGCGGTTGGTGCTTTTCACTGATCCTCATAGTTCTAGCCGACCTGTGACAATGAGACTGTCACACGTCGGCTCAGTAGATCGGGAACAGATACCGGCGCTCGCTCACTTCTCCATCCTATCATGGCAGAGAGCCGTGACAGGGGGAGGGGCTGGATTCCCCCCCCCGATCCTCCAGCGCTGACTGGCAGAACGGATGCGGCGGGTACAGCTGGCTCTGCCTCTAGATAGGCGGAGCCAGCTGTCAGACATAATTGTTCCGGGTGCGGCGTCTCAGTATACCGCAAGCTGTAGCTCCCTATATGCTGAGCTTAGGGTGACGGGAGGACGCTAGTTTGTGTCCTCCCGTTACCCTAAGGAGAACTATGGGGGAAAAGCCCTGACCTCATAGTTCTCCTTTACAACCGCTCCTTTAGGCACACTGGATTATTCATTCCCCCATAGTTTATTAAGCCTATCAGAAAGCACAGAACCCGGTATGTAGGAGGGCAAAACCTACCTGGCAAAAGGAGAAAATAAAATACCAGGTATCAGTATGTGTATTGCACTGCAGTAATACTGACAGGCCCCTAGCACCCATCTCCCAGAGTCACGATGACTGAAGAGAGCTGGGCCAGCATCCTTCTTATCCAGCCTCTTCTAGACTGGGCATATACCCACCAATGAAGGGCTCAGGAATACAGGACTGTAGGGGGGGAGTGAGAGGACAGTACTCACCCGTCATCAATTGTGATGATAGCACACTTAGGAGCTTTCTTCTTTACGTCTTTCCTTTGACCTTCAGAAAAATCAAAGAAAAAAACCTTTATTTTCAGCTAACGCGTTTCTCATGATCAGAGTATACAGAAAAGTGAGAATCTAGAGAGAAGCACAATGGGGATGAAGACAGGATAATAGGCTGATGTCAGCAGATGGAGTGGAGACATTATATTGGTGACGGTGGATTGCCGGTGACGCACACTCCTCTGCCTGATGGAGAAGCACAGTATGAAGGAAGTGGATTCACCTGAAGCTGAGCCTTTCGTCTTCTTTTTCTTCCCCAGAACATCGTGTAAGCTGCGGAGATTTGTCTTCTTCTCGTTGGGCTGGCTGATGGGGGTCTTACTGGTGTCATTGATGGTGATACGTTCCTGCAGGAAAAACAGAAGAATTTCCACATCTACAACGTCCTGTGAGACCAAGGGGTCAGCAACCTGTGGCTCCGGAGCCGCATGTGGCTCTTGCATCCCTCTACTGCGGCTCCCTGTCCAGGTGTTCCCGTCCCGAAATGTCACTTCTATCCGACTTTGTGATTGGGGTGGAATGTGAGATCGCACTCACAGAGTCGGATAGACGTGACATTGTGAGGGGTCTGGGCAGCCTCTTACATGAGTATCAGCTGTACCAGGGGCGGCAGGGGAGGGGGTGGAGGAGGCCGGGCCCCAGCAGCTGCAGGTAGGAGGAGGTACAGGGAAAGGGACCCCGGCAACCAGTCCACGTGAGACCCTGCAGAGCCCACCATAGAGAGTCTCAGGTAAGCACAGAGCGTTACTAAGCCCAGGGTCCAGTGCGTTACTAAGCCCAGTGCGTTACTAAGCCCAGAATCCAATGCGTTACTAAGCCCAGGGTCCAGTGCGTTACTAAGCCCAGGGTCCAGTGCGTTACTAAGCCCAGGGTCCAGTGCGTTACTAATGCTGAATGGCTTTGGCTTTCTCCAGGATCTGCTTCGCTTTGTTCATCTTTTTGGAGTTGCTAGAAACCTGCGACCGGAGACAGGGATCAAACTCGTCACGTGACGCTCTACGAGTGACGCCATTGAATACAAATGGATTCCATTGCGTTACAATCTCTCACCTTCTTACGGCCCGGTGTGAAGGCCTCGTCGTCAGAGAAGGTGACACTCTGTCTGCCGATAATCCTCCTATTGATTCGCGTGAACCTCATCCTTGGAGGGAGGGAGAGAGAGAGAAGTACATGGAGGGAAAGCACCCGGACACCCTACAATAGCTGTCCTCTACTATGGACTGTGTCTGTGGAGGGTCTCATTCATCCGGTATATCTAAAAAATAAGTCCAGCCAACTTCTTTACCACCTCTCTCTGGGCAGGTTAAAGGAGAACTCTGAGGTCAGGGCTTTCCCCATAGTCCTCCTAAGGGTAACGGGAGGACACAAACTAGCGTCCTCCTGTCACCCTAGGCTCAGTATATAGGGAGCTACAGCTCGCGGTATACTGAGACGCCGCAGCCGGAGCGGATCCCGACAATTATGTCTGGATCCGCCCAGCTGCGTGAGTGACAGCTGGCTCCTCCTATCTAGAGGCAGAGCCAGCTGTACCCGCCTCCTCCCCCGTCCCGCCAGTCAGCGCTGGAGGATCGGAGCGGGGAATCCAGCCCCTCCCCTGTTACGGCAGAGAGCGGTGACAGGATCGAGAGGTGAGCGAACGTCGGTATGTGTTCTCTCACTTCCCGATCTACTGAGCCGACCTGTGACAGTCTCATTGTCACAGGCTAGATCTATGAGGTGACTGAAAAGCCCCCCCCCCTCATAGTTCTCCTTTAATAACACCTCCTAGACTCCAATTATGCAAATCCAATCGACACCCGATTGCGATTAACAGATTATGTGGATTGGAGTGAAATTCACCATATTTATTCCCAGAGAATTTTGGTACAAGTCATTCTGAAATGGAGAAAGCTGGACGGATGACCGGTGAAACGTCTTCAAGGAAAATACAGCAAAGTCCAGTTGCCTCGGCTTATTTTATACAGATCTACTATGGACGGTCACAGAACAAAGGACAGAAGAAATATATTGTTTGTGAAGAATGGCCTAGTGTGCAATCTCTGTAAATGTGTGAGCCTACAGTGTCTCAGTGTTCTAATAATCAATATTATCCACAACTTGTCCAGGAAAAAGAAGCAAAACGTTGTACAGAGATCATGCAGAGCCTACCGAGGGGAACACAAAACCTTCTCTGTATAGAAAGAATACAAACTACCAATGTATGGCTATGCAAGTCCATATCCGAGGTGCGGAAACTATATATTGTGTGTAATGTTATTTCACATGCTGCCCTCAGAAGTAGGGATGCACCGGTATATCGGCCGCCGCAACATATCAGCCGAAAGTGCCATTTTCCTGCCGATACATCGGCGCATCCGTGTATTCTCTCCTCCCCGCTGGGCGCCGCTCTGTCCCAGCGGGGAGGAGAGAAAGTGACAGGCGGCCAAGCGCTGCGGGAGGAGAGCGCTGTGAGCGGCCGGCGTCTCCTCCCACACCGCTCTGCCTCCTATCACAGATCGGAGTGTGGGCGGAGACAGGTCGCGCTGTCACAGGAGGCTGGGCTCTCCTCCCCGCACCGCCTCCTGTGACAGCGTGTCAGAGATGAGAGCGGGTACAAGCAGTAGGTGACCGCTGAGTGTTTGTAGATAATTGAGGACAGAGTAGGGTTACTATATCCTCAATTATGAATGAATGGGAAGTGACCTACATCACATCTACATCACTTCCTGTCCATTCATGATTGTGGTTATAGTAACCATACTCTGTCCTCATGTTATGAATGATCAGGAACACTCACTATAGAGGATTCCGGTTCATTGATAACAGGGGACACAGAAAAAGAGACTGGGGTCTCTCTGCATCTCTGGGGACTTTGTGTTCTCAATCTCTTTTTCTATTTTAAAAAAGGGAAATATCAGGGGTCTGTTTAGACCTCTAATATTTCCCAGAAGCCCCTAAAAGTAGAGTAAAAAATAAATATAGGTATATTACTCAGGGTAGACGGGCACTGCCAGCACCGGCCACAGATATACATGGAGCGTGAGCTTGTATCAGGCCGTGTGTGGACTCCTGTACATGGCTGTAACACACAACACTGCGTTTTTACCAATACAGCTTTATAACTGAAGGCGGGTGCATTGGATTGTAGGGGCCCGTGCATGCTGCGCATAAAGACTAGTAAACATGTGCTGCATTCAGATCCATAACATCTAATTCTTCATCTAAGGTCCAGCGCACGGACCATATATTGCACTCTGTCAAACATTGTGTTAAAGGAGAGCTATGGGGGGAAGGGGCTTTTCACTCACCTCATAGTTCGGGGCGACGTGTGACAATGAGACTGTCACAGGTCGGCTCAGTAGACCGGGAGGGGAGGGAACACATACTGGCGTTCGCTCAACTCTCGCTCCTGTCTCTG